ATGTCTAAATCAGAAATTTGAGATGTAAACCCAGAATTTTTGAAGCATTTTTGCCCAACTTTTTGAAATGCCCAATTTTTCAACTATTTTTTTATTCCTTTTGAAAATTACCTAAAGAGATTTTTACTAAATTTGGTACTCCAGAAGTTACTTTCAGTTAATCTTATTTCCTCGAAAGTTCACACCATTTTTCCAGAATCGCCCAAAGAAATATAGTATTTTTTAGGATTTAAAAAAAAAACTTTGAATATTTCTAAAATGTTGCTCTGTAAACATGAATATGCTATATTTTTCAATTCATAACGTCAAGAACAATACTCGTACCATAGATTTTCTTGTGAAATTTTAAACAAACTTTTCAAAAGTTCAATTTTTCAATACTGAGCATTTATGAAAATTTCCACCTTTCTTTTTATTTTCGGTACCATTTTTCAAGAATCGCCCAATTTTTCCAGTACGTCAAAATTTTTAGACAACTTCTCCAAAAATATGATCTTTCAACACCTATGAAAATTTATTTCTAAGTTTTTTGACTAATTTCAAGAGATTTTTTGCAGATTGCTACACCTAGAAGACACTTCCGAGCTTATTTTCCTAAAAACCCCTGAGATTTTTCGAGAATTGCCCAATTAAATATGACAACTTTTAGAATAATTTTAAAATCTTGCTTCGGTACCCTGAAAACGCTGTATTTTTAGAAATTTTTTCGTTGTAAGTCAAGATATATTATATCCCAGATTTTTTTCTGGATTTTTAGATAACGTTGTAAAAATCTGAATTTGTCAATACAACATTATGAATTAGAGCTATTAGAACTTTTTTTCAAAACTTACGAAAATTTCTTTTTTTTTACTATATTCGAAAATTGTCTACAGAAATTTTTAAGTATATTTTTGGACGTCCAGAAGTTGATTTTGGACTTATTTCTTCGATAACTTCCACACATTTTTCCAAAATGACCCAAAGAAATATGCCAATTTTAAGTTGTGAACAAAAAATTTCAAATCGAATATTTCTAAAATCTTGCTCCGAGAACATGAACTTGCTATTTGTTTCAAATCAGTACGTCGAGAACTCTATTATAGATTTTTTTTGTGTATGTTTAAACAAAGTTCAATTTTTCGATACTCTTGAAAATTTCCACCTTGTTTTTGACCACATCGAAAACTATGTAAAGATTTCTCTGTAGACTACGAGCTCTTTGAAAATTCCTAACATTTTTAAAAGTGGCCCAATGAACTAAGACAATTTTTGTGATTGAAAAAAAAATTCGAGCCGAATATTTCTCAAATATTTTTCCGCTGCCATAAACACAGAATTTTTTGTGGATTTTCAGACAACTTTTCCAAAAGTTCGATCTATTCCAGGTGTATGAAAATTCAATTTTACGTTTTTTGACAATTTGGAAAATTACCTAAAGAGATTTTTTTACTCGAAAAATTTTCAAAAAATACTTCCGGCCTTATTTACGCAAAAACCCTCAACTTTTTGCCCAATTAAATAAATATGGCAACATTTGGAATTAAAAAAAAAAAGTCAAACAGGTTAAGCTATTTCTTAAATCTTGCTCCGGGACCATAAACGTGTTGCATTTTTTGAAAGAGTATGTCGAGATCTATATCCCACATTTTTTAGGATTTCTACATAGATAACCTTCTAAAAAGCTGAATTTCCAGAATAGGTCAATAAAATACGATATTTTACGTTTTTTTTTTTTTAATCAAACCGGATATGTTTGAGATGTAAATCCCAAAATTTTTTGAATATTTTCGAAAATTACCTAAAGAGATTTTTTCCTACTTCTATTTCGCCCTCCAGAACTTCAAAATTTTATTTCTTCGAAAATTCACGTCATTTTTCCAGGGTCGTCTAAAGAAATATCACAATTGTTAGGATTTAAAAAAAAAATCATTTTAAACCGAATATTTCTAAAACGTTTTTCTGCTACATGTTTCAAGTCAGAACGTCAAGAACTATATCATATATTTTCTTGTGTTTTTTTAAACAAAATTTTCAAAAATTCCATTTTTCAATAAGTACTCACCATTTATGAAAATTTCGAGCGTTTCTTTGACCAACATCGAAAATTATCTGAAGAAATTTTTCTCCAGACTTTGAGCTCCAAAATTTATTTTCGGCTTCTTTTCTTTGAAAATTCCTGCTATTTTTCAAGAATCGCCGAGTGTACTAAGGAGATTTTTGGAATTGAAAAAAAAAATCAAACCGAATATTTCTAAAATCTTTTCCTGCCACCATGAATGAACACAGTATTTTTTTCGATTCAGTACGTCGAGTTCAATACTTCTGAATTTTTAGACAACTTTTCCAAAAGCTCGATTTTTCAACAATTTGCATTTATGAAAATTTATTTCTATGTTTTTTGACCAATTTCTGAAATTACCTAAAGAGATTTTTTAGTAGATTTCGACCTTCAGAAGACACTTTCGGGCTTATTTTCTCAAAAACCACCACGATTTTTCCAAAATCACTCAATTAAATATGGAAACTATTTTAGGAATTAAAAATATTAAAATTTCAAACCGAATAAATTTTAAAATCTTGCTCCCGAACCCTAAAAACGCTGTAATTTTCGAGATTTTTTCGTTTGTCGAGATATATATACCAGAATTTTATTGGATTTTTAGATAATCTTTTGAAAAGCTGAATTTTTCAATACCCTCTCCCTCATGAAGATTTTTACCTTCAGAAATTACTTTCCGCATTATTTCTAAAAAAACAACTACCATTTTTCCAGAATCGCTGAATAAAATATGCTAATTTTATGTATTTTTTTAAGCGAATTTCAAACCTAACATTTCTGAAGTTGCTCCGAGACCATATACACTAGAAGGTTGAGATTTAAAAATTCCTAGAATTTTTGTGATTTTTAGAAAACTTTTTCAAAATCTCAATTTTCAACACTCTCGACTTACATACGAAAATTTCTTCTGTTTTTAACTGGTTTCGAAAGTTATCTAAAGAGATTTTTAAGTAGATTTCGACCTCCAAAAGTTGCTTTTGGACTTATTTCCTCGAAAACTGCTACCATTTTTCCAAAATGACCGAATGAAATATGCCAATTTTAAAATTAAAAAAGAAAAAATAATTTCAAATCGAATATTATTTTTAAAATTTTGCTTCTAGAACATGAACATGTGTTTCATATCAGTGCGTCGAGAACTATATCGTAGATTTTTTTGTGGATTTTTACACAAATTTTTCAAAAGTTTCGATATTTACCTCGACCTTTTTTTTGACCACAATCGAAAACTTTATAAAGAGATTTCTCTGTAGACTACGAGTTCAAAAATTTATTTTCGGCTTCATTTCTTTATTAAAATCTTTTCCGCCGCCACAAACACGCTAATTTTTTCAATTCAGTTGCTCCAGGAACATGAATATGTTGTATGTTTCAAATCAATGTGTCGAGACTAGAATCATAGGATTTGTTTTGCAAATTTTTTCAAAAGTTCAATGTTGCAGTATTCACCATTGATGAAAATTTCGACCTTTCTTTTAAAAATAAATAATTTCAAACCGAATATGTAAAATCTTTTCACACCACCCAAATTTTTTCGATTCAGTGCGTCAATATCTGCAACCCAGATTTTTTTTCATATTTTTATAGAAGTTTTAGAAGCTGCTCAATCTTTCACCTTATGAAAATTTATTTCGACTTTTTTGACTTCGAGAATCACCTAAATTTTTTTGTTGTAAATTTTGACACCCAGAAAACAAGTCCGGCCTTATTTTGTCAAAATCTCTCACGATTTTTCAAGAATCACCCAATTAAATAAATATGACAACTTTTAGTATTTAAAAAAAAATAAATAAATTTCAAACCAGAAAATCGATATCTAAATCCCAAATTTTTTTGTGGATTTTTAATCAACTTTTTCAAAAGTTCAATTTTTCATTACTTGGACCGTGTTCGAAAATTATCTCACGAGATTTTTCTATAGATTTCGAGCATCAGAATTTATTTTTTGCTTAATTTCTTTGAAAATTCCTACCATTTCTTCAGAATTGCCCAAAAAACCAAGGCAATTTTTAAGATTTAACCTTGAAATTGAATTTCAAACCAAATATTTCGAAAATTTTTCGAAACAGTACCTCGAGATCTACGAGTTCATCCTAAAATTTTGAGATAATTTTTCCAAAAGCTCAAACATCAGTACTCCCCCGTATGAAAATTTTGACGCTTTTTGACCATCTTAGAAAATTATTTAACAGATTTATTGGTAGATTTAGACCAATTTTCAGCTTCACATCTTCAATTTTTTTCCAAAATCTTTGAATAATAAACCAAAAATTTAATTTCAAATCAAATGTTTCTAAAATTTTGCTCCGAGAATATGAAATTGCTGTTTCGAATCGGTGCACCGAAAACTAAATCAACGATTTTTTGTGTATTTTTTTCACCACTTTTTTTTCATTTCTTCGACAATTTCTACCATTTTTACAAAATTTCCCAAAGAACCAAGATACTTTTTAGAATTAAATAAAAAAATTGAATTTCAAACCGAATATTTCGAGAATTTTTCGAAACAGTATGTGGAGAGTACAAAAATTTTGATGTTTTTTGACCATTTTTGGAAATTATTTTCTAAACAGTTTTATTTATAGATTTAGACCTAGTTTCAGCTTCGTATCTTCAATAAAATTTCTAAAATCGTTCAATGGAATATGGGGAAATTTGAAGAACTCTTGGAAAAAAAAAATGTAGAATATTTCTAAAATCTTGTTCTGGAAAACGCGTGTTGAGATTTATAGCAGAATTTAAAACTAAAGAGACTTTTTTTGTATTTGGACCTCCATAAATAATTCTCAAAATCATCCTGAAGTTTCTTTTCCTTCTGGTAAAGAGAAAAACCTTCCTGGCACCTAAGTAGTTGTCTCAAGTAGTGTTGGAGTCCCATCCCGATATGGTCGGGGTTGGGCTTACCAACTAGAAACTCCTCTACACTTTATAATGTATGTTAATTTTCTTCTGCTTCCAGACGCTTCCCATCATTGCCCACACAGACTACCATTACAGACCCACTTCAAGATCATTCTCCCGCCCCTACACCAGCGATGCATCACCCCGCAACCAATACTCAGGAAGCTTAAACCCAACCCACGCCCATATGGACACCAGAAGTACAAGCAGCAAGCAACGAGCCCACGGTAAGTCCCCAACCCCACCTTCACCGACTAACTCTACTCAAACCCTCTCCAGTCGACGACGGCACCATCGTCTACCCCGACACCCCCAGCTGCGCCTACGGCCTCTGTTTCAACGTCGCCGGCTACCCAAAAGAGCAAATCCAAAGAATACTCAGTCGATCTCAGTTCATGAACAGCTACTTCGAAGTCAGCGAAGAACCCGTCATCATCGACAACAGGTTCAACACCGACGAGATGTCGCTGTGCGAGACCAAGGTGCACACCATCTACCCCGAGAAGGCCAACAACACGCAGAAGATCGAGAGGGTCATCGTGAACGTCGAGGGGCACAAGCAGGGGATCGTGTTCGAGACTTGCGTGTAAGTAGTGGAGTAGTTTCAAGTTGGAAGTGTTTCCGAATTTAGTTTCAGGGATAACGGGAAGTGTAAGTTCAGCAGCAATTTCCCGACGGGGTACACGTCGTATTGTAAGCAGAAGTACATCCACAAGAGGTTGATGGTGCTGGGGGATAACGACAAGTTTGTGTTCGACTCGTTCGAAGTGCCGTCGTGTTGCGTGTGTACCGTGAGCAGAAGTGACTGAAGACTGCCTGTTTTGTAGTGTACAGAGTGTTTTGTCACATTGTATTATATTTAGGGATATTTATGTAATGCTAGAGATACGTTTCACTTGCACGCTTGATTTTCAACTGCATGATTATTATTATTTTTAATTAGAGTGACTTTTGTGCCGCGGATTATGCATGGAAGTTTAATAAATGAATCATAACTTTGTGAAATGATATTGATTTATATGCAGTATTTATCACACAAGTAAAAAATAAACGTCTAAAATAAACTGAGAAGGTTTCAATTTGGGGACCAAATGTCGTCCGTCTTTCTACTTTCCTATCCCACAATATACTACTTCTTCTGTATCCGTATTATTTTTATAAAGTATCTTAAAATGTTGGAATTAGTTATTAAAATTATGGAGGTATGCAACCAGTAATACACACTACACTTCCCTGAATTGTCATTTCTTTTTCACAGCGTTGACAATTGCTTGCTAAGTTAAACTTAGTTCCGCCCTCCCACCCGTCCCTCATTTTTTTTCTAAAATTAGAATATTTATAGACAAAAGAAAATTAAAAATTTCCAAAAATTTTCCAAAAAAGTGGTTAAAATTGGTTTAATCGACCGAAAATTGGTGTCAAATTGTAGACAATCTTTCGCTAGTTACGATTCTGAAATCGCCGCCACAATAAGACGAAAAGCGAATTTAAAATTTCCAAACTATTTCCAAAAATGTGGTTAAAATTGGTTCAATCGACCGAAAATTGGTGTTAAATTGTATGTTACCTTCCTATAGTTACGTTTCTGAATTCGCAGTCACGATATCCTGTCCAATAAAGGCGAAAAGTGAACTCAAAATTTCCAAAAATTTTCCAAAAAAGTGGTTATTTCGGTTCAATCGACCGAAATTTGGTGTCAAATTTTAAATAATCTTCCGCTAGTTACGATTTCGAAATCGCCGCCACGAAATGTCGTCCAATTACGACGAAAACTGAATTCAAAATTTCCAAAAATTTCCCAAAAAAGTGGTTAAAATTGGTTCAATCGACCCAAAATTTGTGTCAAGTTGTAAATAAGCTTCCGCTAGTTACGATTCTGAAATCGCCGCAACGATATGTAGTTCAATAACGACGAAAAGTGAATTCAAAATTTCCAAAAAAGTGGTTAAAATTGGTTCAATCGACCGAAATTTGGTGTCAAATTGTAAATAATCTTCCGCTAGTTAGGATTCTGAAATCGCCGCCACGATATCTCGTCCAATGGCGACGAAAAGTGAACTCAAAATTTTCAAAAATTTTCCAAAAAGTGGTTATTTTGCTTCAATCGACCGAAAATTAGTGTCAAATTGTAGATAATCTTCCGCCAGTTAAGATTCTGAAATCGCCGCCACGATATCTCGTCCAATAACGACGAAAAGTAAACTCAAAATATTCAAAAATTTTCCAAAAAGTGGTTAAAATTGGTTCAATCGACCGAAAATTGGTGTCAAATTGTAGATAATTTTCCGCTAGTTAATATTCTGTAATCGTCGCCACGATATCTCGTCGAATAATGACGAAAAGCGAATCCAAAATTTCCAAAAATTTTCCAAAAAAGTTGTTAAATTCGGTTCAATCGACCGAAAATTTCTGCCAAATTGTAGATAATCTTCCCCTAGTTAAGATTCTGAAAACGCCACCACGATATCGCGTCCAATAAAGACGAAATGTGAATTCACAATTTCCAAAAATGTTCCAAAAAATTGGTTAATATTGGTTCAATCGACCGAAATTTGGTGTCAAATTGTAGATAATCTCCCGCTAGTTACGTTTTTGAAATCGCCGCCACGATATTTGTCCAATAAAGGCGAAAAGTGAATTCAAAGTTTCCAAAAATTTTCCAAAAAAGTGGTTAAAATTGGTTCAATCGACCGAAAATTAGTGTCAAATTGTAGATAATCTTCCGCAAGTTACGATTCTGAAATCGCCGCCACGATTTATCGTCCAATAACGACGAAAAGTGAATTCAAAATTTCCAAAAATTTTACAAAAAAGTGGTTAAAATTGGTTCAATCGTCCAAAAATTGGTGTCAAATTGTAGATAATCTTCCCCTAGTTAAGATTCTGAAATCGCCGTCACGATATCTCGTCCAATAACGACGAAAAGTGTATTCAAAATTTCCAAAAATTTTCAAAAAAGTGTTTAAAATTGGTTCAATCGACCGAAATTTGGTGCCAAATTGTAGATAATCTTCCGCTAGTTACGATTCTGAAATCGCCGCCACGATATCTCGTCCAATAGCGACGAAAAGTGAACTCAAATTTTCCAAAAATTTTCCAAAAAAGTGGTCAAAATTGGTTCAATCGACCGAAAATTGATGTCAAATTGTAGATAATCATCCGCTGGTTAAGATTCTGACATCACCGCCACGGTATCTCGTCCGATAAAGACGAAAAGTGAATCCAAAATTTCCAAAAATTTTCCAAAAAAATGGTTAAAATTGGTTCAATCGACCGAAATTTGGTGTCAAATTGTAGATAATCTTCCGTTAGTTAAGATTCTGAAATCGCCGCCACGATATCTCGTCGAATAATGACGAAAATTGAATTCCGAATTTCCAAAAATTTTCCAAAAAGATGGTTAAAATTAGTTCAGTCAACCGAAAATTAATGTCAAATTGTAGATAATTTTCCGCTAGTTACGATTCAAAAATCGCCGCCACAATATCTCGTCCAATAAAGACGAAAAGTAAATTCAAAATTTCCAAAAATTTTCCAAAAAAGTGGTTAAAATTGGTTCAATCGACAGAAAATTGGTGTCAAATTGTAGATAATTTTCCGCTAGTTACGATTCACAAATCGCCGCCACAATATCTCGTTTAATAAAGACGAAAAGAAAATTCAAAATTTCCAAAAATTTTCCAAAAAAGTGGTTAAAATTGGTTCAATCGACAGAAAATTAGTGTCAAATGGTAGATAATTTTCCGCTAGTTACGATTCACAAATCGCCGCCACAATATCTCGTTTAATAAACACGAAAAGTAAATTCAAAATTTCTAAAAATTTTCCAAAAAAGTGGTTCAAATTGGTTCAATCCACCGAAGATTGGAGTCAAATTGTAGATAATCTTCCCTTAGTTAAGATTCTGAAAACGCCGCCACGATATCTCATCCAATAACGACGAAAAGTGAACTCAAAATTTTAAAAAAATTTCCAAAAAAGTGGTTAAAATTGATTGAATCGACCGAAAATTGGTGTCAAATTGTAAATAATCTTCCGCTAATTACGATTCTGAAATCGCCGCCACAATATCTCGTCCAATAACGACGAAAAGTAAACTCAAAATTTTCAAAAATTTTCCAAAAAAGTGGTGAAAATTGGTTCAATCGACCGAAAATTGGTGTCAAATTGTAGATAATATTCCGCTGGTTACGATCCTGAAATCGCCACCACGACATCTCGTCCAATAACGACGGAAAGTAAATTCAAAATTTCCAAAAATATTCCAAAAACGTAGTTAAAATTTCAATCGACCGAAATTTGGTGTCAAATTGTAGATGATCTTCTGCTAGTTAAGATTCTGAAATCGCCGCCACGATATCTCGTCCAATAACGACGAAAAGTGAATTCAAAATTTCAAAAACTTTTCCAAAAAAGTGGTTAAAATTGGTTCAATCGACCGAAAATTGGTGTCAAACTGTAGATAATCTTCCGCTAGTTACGATTCTGAAATCGCCGCCACGATTTCTCGTCCAATAGCCACGAAAAGTGAACTCAAAATTTCCAAAAATTTTCCAAAAAAGTGGTTAAAATTGGTTCAATCGACCGAAAATTGGTGTCAAATTGTGGATAATCTTCCGCTAGTTACGATTCTGAAATCGCCGTCACGATATCTGCTCCAATAAAGACGAAAAAAGAATTAAAAATTTCCAAAAATTTTCCAAAACAGGGGTAAAAATTGGTTCAATCGACCGAAATTTGGTGTCAAATTGGAGATAATCTTCCGCTAGTTACGATTCTGAAATTGCCGCCACGATATCTCTTCCAATAACGACGAAAAGTGAATTCAAAATTTCCAAAAATTTTCCAAAAAAGAGTTTAAAATTGGTTGAATCGTCCGAAAATTGGTGTCCAATTGTAGATAATCTTCCCCTAGTTAAGATTCTGAAATCGCAGTCTCGATATCTGCTCCAATAACCACGAAATGTGAAATCAAAATTTCCAAAAATTTTCCAAAAAACTTGTTAAAATTGGTTCAATCGACCGAAATTTGGTGTCAAATTGTAGATAATCTTCCGCTAGTTACGATTCTGAAATTGCCGCCACGATATCTCGTCCAGTAACCACGAAAAGTGAATTCAAAATTTCCAAAAAAGTGGTTAAAATTGGTTCAATCGACCGAAAATTGGTGTCAAATTGTAGATAATCGTCCGTTAGTTACGATTCCGAAATCGCCGCCACGATATCTCGTCCAATAACGACGAAAAATGAACTCAAAATTTCCAAAAATTTTCCAAAAAACTGGTTAAACTTGATTCAATCGACCGAAACTTGGTGTCAAATTGTAGATAATCTTGCCCTAGTTACGATCCTGAAATCACCGCCACGATATCTCGTCCAATAAAGACGAAAAGTAAATTCAAAATTTCCAAAAATTTTGCAAAAAAGTGGTTAAACTTGGTTCAATTGACCGAAAATTGGTGTCAAATTGTAGATAATCTTCCGCTAGTTACGATTCTGAAATCGCCGCCATGATAACTCGTCCAATAAAGACGAAATGTAAACTCAAAATTTCCAAAAAATTTCCAAAAATTGGCTAACATGGTTCAATCGACCGAAAATTGGTGTCAAATTGTAGATAATCTTACGATAGTTACGATTTTTAAATCGCCGCCACGGTATCTCGTCGAATAATGGCGAAAAGAGAATTCAAAATTTCCAAAAATTTTCCAAAAAAATGGTTAAAATTGGTTCAATTGACCGAAAATTGGTGTCAAATTGTAGATAATTTTCCGTTAGTTACGATTCTGTAATCGCCGTGACGATATCTGATCTAATAAAGACGAAAAGTGAATTCAAAATTTCCAAAAATTTTCCAAAAAAATGCTTAAAATTGGTTCAATCGACCGAAAATTGGTGTCAAATTGTAGCTAATTTTTCGATAGTTACGATTTTGAAATCGCCGCCACGGTATCTCGTCCAATAATGGTGAAAAGTGAATTCAAAATTTCCAAAAATTTTCCAAAAAAGTGGTTAAAATTGGTTCAATCGACCGAAAATTGGTGTCAAATTGTAGATAATCTTCCGCTAGCTAAAATTCTGAAATCGCTGCCACGATATCTCCTTCAATAAAGACGAAAAGTGAATCCAAAATTTCCAAAAATTTTCCAAAAAAGTGGTTAAAATTGGTTCAATCGACCGAAAATTAGAGTGAAATTGTAGATAATTTTCTCCTAGTTAAAATTCTGAAATCGCCTCCACGATATTTCATCCACTAACGACGAAAAGTGAATCCAAATTTTCCAAAAATTTTCCAAAAAAGTGGTTAAAATTGGTTCAATCGACCGAAAATTAGTGTCAAATTGTAGATAAACTTCCGCTAGTTACTATTCTGAGATCGCCGCCACGATAGCTCTTCCAATAAAGACGAAAAGTGAATTCAAAGTTTCCAAAAATTTTCCAAAAAAGTGGTTAAAATTGGTCCAATCGACCGAAACTTGGTGTCATTTTGTAGATAATGTTCCGCTAGTTACGATTCTGAAATCGCCGCCACGATATCTCGTGGAATAAGGACGAAAAGTGAACTCAAAATTTCCAAAATTTTTCCAAAAAAGTGGTTAAAATTGGTTCAATCGACCGAAACTTGGTGTCATTTTGTAGATAAATTTCCGCTAGTTACGATTCTGAAATCGGCGTCACAATATCTCGACCAATAAAGACGGAAAGTGAATTCAAAATTTCCAAAAATGTTTCAAAAAAGTGGTTCAAATTGATTCAATCGACCGAAAATTGGTGTCAAATTTTAGATAATCTTCCCCTAGTTACGATTCTGAAATCGCCGCCACGATATCTCGTCTAATAACGACAAAAAAAGAATTCAAAATTTCCAAAAATTTTCCAAAAAAGTAGTTAAAATTGGGTCAATCCTCGGAAAATTGGTGTCAAATTGTAGATAATCTTCCGCTAGTTAAGATTCTGAAATCGCCTCCACAATATCTCGTCCAATAACGACGAAAAGTGATTTCAAAATTTCCAAAAATTTTCCAAAAAAAGGGGTTAAAATTGGTGTCAAATTGTAGATAATCTTGCGCTAGTTACTAATCTGAAATCGCCGCCACGATATCTCGTCCAATAAAGACGAAAAGAGAAACCAAAATTTCCAAAAATTTTCCAAAAAACAGGTTAAAATTTGTTCAATCGACCGAAAATTAGTGTCAAATTGTAGATAATCTTCCGCTAGTTACGATTCTGAAATCGCCATCACGATATCTCGTCCAATAAAGACGAAAAGTGAATTAAAATTTTCCAAAAATTTTCCAATAAAGTGGTTCAAATTGATTCAATCGACCGAAAATGATTATTAAAATTTTCGACTAATCGGGTAGTTATGAAATTAAAGTTCTGGTAAATTGGAGATTCCTATAAATCTGATTAAGATAATCTAACCTTATATAAGCTTAGCAAGAAGTGATTGAAGGGGTCAAGTAGCCAGTGCATATTCCGGGGTTTTACTACCCAAGTACTCATAATCCCCATATGAACATTGCGTGAATTACTGGGTTTTTACCATTCAAATAATCTCCGGGTATATGAAATAATGTATCACATTTTATTTATTAGCCTAGCGCCAACTACTCGTACACTGTGTACAGTACATATTTATTTAAATAACACGAATTAGAATTTGTTTATTTGCCGGCTATTACTCATTTCATTTTTCTTCCTGGTAAATATATACAATGATTCATTTTTATAGGAACTGATGTAGTTTTTTTTTAACATTACGTACACAGGTCTTTGGAAAATAAAATACTTAGTACAACAATTTACAATTTATTTTTCAAACTACTATTGGTTATCGTAAATATAGTAAATCGCTAATTAGAATTTATATTTAGACTTGATAATTATAATAATGAAGTTAACTTATTTATCATATATACCGTGTATTTGGAAAAAAGCCCTGATTCGTAGCTGTCGTATTACTTTTTTTTAATTCCTGCAGAGATTTTTTTAATTCATTGTTGTACTAAATATTTTCGAACATTAATACTTAGTGTAATATTTCCATTTATTTTTTAATGAATTATTATTTTTGTGTAGAATTTTTCATGGATTTTTAGACATCTTTGCCAAGAGCTCCAATTGTCAAATGTTTGCTACTTTTAGAAAATTTTTTCGAAGTTTAATGCTTTTTGTGAAAAATGTAAGCACTTCAAAACTTTTGTATATCTGTAACTATGATACAATTTGGAGTCATTTGAAACATTTTTTTTATGCTTATTTGCTTTTTTCAATTTTATGCATATTAAAACTGATATGCTTATTTAATACTTTTTTCGACGAATATGAGTTTTAATGCATATTTTGTTCAAATGCCGGCCTTGTCGGGATGACAAATACTTGCTAGTTAGCCGTATCGTATCGTATGCATTTTACCTGGACTTGACCATTGAAGTACACTTACTCAAGACACTTTCTGTGAGTAGGTTCCGGTCGTGTGGGTAATAAAATTTTATTATAGGATTGGAAAAATACTCCATAGATTTTATGACTTTAAATCCTTACTTCCGTTGATAATGAATTAAAGCTATTAACCAGATGTTCTTTTTCGGCATTTTGCGGCAAGACCGTTGAAGATTTTCTAGAAAAAAGGATTATTGTACCCAACTACCTATCTTAAAATTTTTCTAATGGAAACTTTTAAGTAAATGAACCGTTTATTTCACAACCATCAGTCTATCGCATCTGTCGTAGTACAGTGTTATACGTGGTTCTCCCTTGTTACATGTTGAGTTCTTTTTGGTAATATTACTAATATTTTAAAAGAATGCCGAAAGTAAAATCGACGCCGGATGAGTGGATAAGGAATTTTCCAAAATTAAAATTAGAAAACAACAAAATATTCTGCAGAGCTTGTGTGAAAACCGTAAGCCCACTAATTTTTTTTTATCTATTTTCCTTTGTTAATCCCGTATATGTACGTTGTTTTAGATTCAAAGTGATAAAAAATATAACGTGACGCAACATGTCAGAACGACTCTTCATGTAGAAAGGAAAAAAATGTTTGAAGTTTCTAAAATTAAACAGCAGACCATACATGAATCTGTTGCATCTACTTCCACAAAAGATGAGCAGTTTCAGTTTAATTTCGATTTATGTAAAATGATGATCCAGTCCAATATACCTTTAAAAAAATTGGAGAAAGGCCCTCTTCAAGAATTCCTTGAAAAACACTGCAATCGACATATTTCGGTTGAAAGTACTCTCCGAAAAAATTATGTAGGCCCAGTGTTTCAGCAAGTTTACAACGAAATTAAACATCGCATTGGAGGTAATTATTTATGGTTCGTTGTCGATGAAACAACCGATAGTTGTGGAAGATACGTGGTAAGTTTAATTGTTGGAATCTTAAATGAAAATTTCCCTAGTTGAGGGTATGTAGTAAGTTTGAAAATGTTAGATAAAACAAATGGCAATACGATTACCAGATTTGTAAATGACAGTCTTACGTCACTATTTTTGCCAATAAAATTTTATTGATGATCTCGGATGTAGCTCGTTATATGTTGAAAGCAGAGAATAATCTAAAAATATTGTACCCCAATTTAATTCACTCTACTTGCATTGCCCACGGTTTAAACAGAGTGGCTGAAGGAATACGTTTGCAGTTTCTTACTGTTAATAAATTAGTGGCAAATGGTAAAAAGATTTTTGTTAAAGCCCCACTAAGAGTGCAACATTTTAAGGAAAAATTTCCAAACATACCATTGCCTCCAGAGCCGATTATAACGAGGTGGGGAACATGGTTACAGGTCACATTTTATTATGACGAATATATCAAAGAATTTGAGGAAGTAGTTACGAAGTTTAGCGAAGATTCTTCTCAATCGATTAAAGATTGCATAAATATTTCGGAAAACAAAGATTTGCGACAAGATCTAGCTTTTCAAAGAAGCAATTATCAATTCGTATGTGAGGTAATAGAAAAGTTAGAAAAACCCAACATGTTGTTGGTAGATGCCATAAACTTAGTGAAAGAATTTAAACAACAAGCAAACGCAGTAAGGGGTGATATTGGTACTAGAGTATCTCAAAAACTTGACGAAGTGTTAAATAAAAATGCAGGTTTCGGTGTTCTTTCCGACGTTGCTCGTGTTTTACAAGGCCAGAAGGTGGAAAATTTGGAGTTAGATTCAACATTAGTTGCAAAATTCAAATTTGCGCCAACAACGAGTGTGGATGTTGAACGCACATTCTCCAATTTGAAACACATTTTAAATGATCGGCGAAAAAAATTTACAGTGAACAACTTGGAACATATTACAATCATAAATTGCTTTAAAGAAAACTTAAATACGTGTGTAAAATATAAAGTCTAGGATTATTGTAATAATATTTTATCCAAAGTTCTAAGAAGTGTTCTTTGATTTGTAATATGATTATGTTTTTAATGCTTTTTTGCTTAAAATAAAACTTTTTTGTTGAAAATGTTGTGCTTATTTAAGCGCTTATTCTTAATTTTGTTGTGCTTATAAATCCGCTCTCTGTATCTAGTAAATAAATAGATCCAGAATTTACTAAAAAAAAGAAACGCACAATCATCACCACCATCATGATTATTAATAATAAAATTATTAATGAGTTGAGTAACTAATTTAAATCAGTTTTTTGTTAGGAAATATTTTATTTTAATTTAATTTAATCTTAATTTATGTAAAATCTTTATTATTTTCTCTGCATAACTTTTCTATGACTTTTGTTTAATATTACCACAGAAACCACAATATTCTACGTCAGCGAGAATATTCTTGTCTCAATTAATACATCATTTAAAAATATATAAGTGGTGCAATAACTGAAATTAATTTTTGTTCAAGATATCATTTTTCTTATTTTATCATGTAGTATTTTCATTTGATTTTAATAAAACCAATAAGTACAGAAACACAATTTTTTATTTCATTTATGCTAACTATTCTACAAGATTAACACAATATTTAAAACTTGGAAGTCCTCGCAGAAATAAAAAATTACTCGTCATCCTGAACATACGTGCAGACACAAGTAGTCGGCACTTTAAAATCCCGATACTCCAGAGTATCATTCCCCGTATTCACCGTCAAAAGTTTAATAACGTGAAACTTCTGCACACATTTCGTTTCATGATCCAGCGCGCTTCCAGCGAAACACCGCTCCCCTTGGCTGAAACTAAACCCAATCATTACCAGAAACCACCCAAAACCCCAACTTACTCGCAGGTTTGAAACTTCACGACTTGACGATACCCATCGACGTTGGCTATGGCCCGTTCCTGGTTGTCCACGTCCTTCATGAACTTCGGGAGCACCGTCAGATCCACAGTTTTGCAAAAGGGCTCGTAGTCCGCCCCTGAAAATCTGTCCGAGACCGACACCGGATTGGCGGGTTCGATGATGTTCCCGAAGTAGGTGTGCAAATCGGAGTTCTTCCGGATGATCCTCCTGATAACGTTCTCGGGATAGTTGGGGGCGTGTTCGCAGAGCCCGAAGACGCAGTCTCCGGTGGCTTTCGCACTCGATAAGCGGGAAAAACGGCGGCGGTGGCGTTCGGGAAACTGGAGTTTCTGGAAATGCCGGCTGTAATTTATGGACGGAAGGTGTCGATTTTCTTACCGCGCTGGATAGGAAGGTCGCGAGGAGGAAAAGAACCAGTTTGGTCGACATGGTGGTGAAGTGTATTTAGTACGAAAATGTTACTAGTTATATATGTGTTTTACACAGCTGAGGTGATTGCGGTTTCTGCTTACCAAACTTCCGTGGAACAAATGAAAACCGATAATCAAAACCGAGACAAGTGCATTAAAATGCATGGCTTGGAATTTTTTAATAAAGATGAATAAAGGTTTTGTTGTTGAGCGAGAATTATTATTAGTGGTTAGTCGAAATATGCATAGGTCAATGGGTTCAATTACATGAAAAAATTGTTGTATGTGGTTAAACCGAAAGCGCTCGCAAAATTTGAGCTCATCAAGGGTCCGGCATAAGATTATTTTCACTCTTGGTATCGATAAGCGACTTCTGCTATTACTTCCTGAGCGTAAGCTAAGGCTTTTCAACGTTTTATGACTTCTACATTACGAAAAAACTGGTCTCCCGTTTCCGCCTGTCTGTCTGTCTAGCCTCTGTGTCGATTTTTATTAAACAAGTAATCTCCGAACTCTTGCAAACGTTTTAAGGTTATCGTAATTTATACTTGTGGTTATCAATGCACTCATAGTTCCTAGAATTCGTTATACATCTTTCCAAATTGATATAGGTGTCGTTGCAAAAATGTGGATGTCACCACAAAATTTTGTAATGGAAAAACTTACTTCAACCACGCGTAGCACACAATTTTTCGATGCTTTTTCGATTTTTAAGGTTTTCAGTTTTAATTTTACGATTTCTCAATTTGCAATTTTTCGATTTTACAAATTTTCGCATCTGCAACTTTTCAATTTTTAATTGTTCAGTTTTTCGATTTCTCCATTTCTTGATTTGTTGGTGTTCTTCAATTTTTTCATTTGCAGATATTGCGATTTTTCGCTATTTAAGATTTTCCATTTTTCAACTAGTAGGTCTGTAAATTTAAAATTTTTCGAATTGTCTACTTTTGTAAATTACTCAATTTTTCAATTTATCAATTTTTCATTGCTTCAATTTTTTGACTTTTCGATTTTCACAATTATTCGATTTTTGAAATTTTTGATTTTTCCTTGTCAGTATTTTGATTTAGCAGTTTTTCTAACTTCCTAATTTAAAAATTTTCTATATTTTTCAATTTGTCTACTTTTCACTATTTCGATTTTAGATTAAAGTTTTCAATTTTTCAGTATTTATAAATTTTTGAATCAACAATTTTCAAATTTTAATTCAATTTTCCGATTTGTAGACATTACAATTCTGCGTTTTTTAACTTCTGCATTTTTCAGTTTGTTGGTTTTTAAATTTTTAATTTTCAACTAAATATAAGATTTATCAATTTTTTGATTTTTCGTCGTCTACATATTTTGATTTTTCGTTTTTTTTTCCATTTCCATTTTGAATATCCCGATTCTTCGATTTTGCAGTTTACAATTTTGCGGTTTTTCGATTTTTTAGTTTTTTGGTTTCTCTATTTTTCTATTTCAAAATTTTCTATTTTAAAATTGTCTATTATTTTTACTTTTCACTGTTCCTGATTTTAATCTCTTTTATTTATGAATTTTTCAGTTTTTCGTTCTTCAATTTCCCTATTTTTAAATTTTTATATTTTCCAATATTTTGATTTTTGTCTGTTTTGATTTTACTATTTTCCATTTTTCAATATTTATTCATCAATTTTTCGATTTTTAATTATGTATATATTTTTATTTTTCGTTTTTTTCCATTTTTCAAACTTCGATTTTTGAATATCTTGATTCTTCGATTTTGTAATTTACGATTTTGCACTTTTTCGATTTCTAAATTTCTCAAGTTCTCTATTTTAAATTTTTCAATTTTCCATCAGTTTTTCGACTTTTTAGTTTTTTGGTTTCTCAGTTTCTCTATTTCAAAATTTTCTATTTAAAAATTGTCTATTATTTTTACTTTTCACTGTCCCTAATTTTATCCTTTTTTATTTTCAATTTCTCTGTTATTAATTTTTCAATTTTTCAATTTTTTCAATGTTTTGATTTTTTCATTTTTTAGTGTCTCGCTTTTTCAGCTAATAATCTTTTCAATTTTTCAATTTTACACATTTCTGAATCGTCAATTAATTTAATTCTTCAATTTTTCAATTGATTATTATTGTTCAATTTTTAGATGTTCCCACTTGTCGATTTTTACGTTTTTTCAATTTTCGATTTGTCGACATTTTAATTTTCCGTTTTTTAGTTTTCCATTTTTTAAATTGTTGGTTTTTAAATTTTAAATTTTCAGTTAATTATACCATTTATCAATTTTTGTATTTTTTTAATTTTCCATTTTCCAATTTTTGATTTTTGAATATTCCGATTCTTCGATTTATAAACTTCTCAATTTTTAGTTTTTCAATTTCTCGATTTTAAATTTTTCAATTTTTCGTTTTTCAGCTTTCGACTTTTTTGTTTTTTGGTTTCTCAGTTTTTCTATTTCAAATTTTCTAATTTAAACTTTTCTATTGTTAAGCGTTTTTATTTTTCACTGCCCCTGATTTTACCCTCTTTTATGTTCAATTTTTCGGTTTTTCATTTTTCAATTTCCCGATTTTTCTATTTTTCTATCTTTCAATGTTTGAATTTTTCACTGTTTCGACTTTACCATTTTTTTAATCTCAATTTTTCAATATTTTATTCTTCAATTTTTATATTTTTCTTTGTTGCTTTTTAAATTTTAAATTTTCAATTAATTATACGATTTATCAATTCAATATTACTCTCCTTCATTTATCAATTTTTCAGTTTTTCGTTTTTCAATTTCCCTGTTTTTAATTTTTTCTATTTTTCACTGTTTTAATTTTTCACTGTTTCGATTTTACCATTTTCCATTTTTCAATTTTCCTATTTTTCATTTTTCAGTTTCTCGATTCTTCAACTAATAAAATTTTCAATTTTTCAGTTTTATAAATTTTTGAAGCATACATTTTTTTTTAATTTCCTCAATTTTCAAATTGTTGGTTTTTAAATTTTAAATTTTCAATCAATTATACGAATTATTAATTTTTTGATTTTTTTTATTTTTTAATTTTCCATTATTTATCAATTTTTGATTTTTGAATATCCCGATTCTTTGATTTTACAATTTACTATTTTGCACATTTTCGATTTCTCAATTTCTCGATTTTAAATTTTTCAATTTTTCGTTTTCCGCTTTTTAGAATTTTTAGTTTTTGGTTTTTTGCTTTTCTATTTCAAAATGTTCTATTTTAAAATTTTCTATTGCTCAGTGTTTTTACTTTTCACTGTCCCTGATTTTACCCTTTTTATATTTCAATTTCCCGATTTTTCAACTTTTTGATTATTCACTGTTTCGATTTTACCATTTTCTATATTTCAATTTTCTTATTTTTCATTTTTCAGTTTCTCGATTTTTCAACTATTAAAATTTTCAATTTTTCAGTTTTATAAATTTTTGAATCATCAAATTTTCAATTTTTAATTCTTCAATTTTTTAATTTTTCGTTTTCTACATATTTTGATTTTTCGTTCTTTCTTCTTTTTTACTTTGTCATTTTTCAATTTTTGATTTTTGAATATCGCGATTCTTCGATTTTGACAATTTACAATTTTGCACTTTTTCGATTTCTAAATTCCTCGATTTTAAATTTTTTAATTTTTCGACTTTTTAGTTTTTTGGTTTCACAGTTTTTCTATTTCAAAATTTTCTATTTTAAACTTGTCTATTTTTGTTTGTTTTTACTTTTCACTGCCCCTGATCTTATCTTTTTTTATTTTCAATTTTTCTGTTTTTCATTTTTCTATTTTTCAATGTTTTGATTTTTCGCCATTTCGATTTTACCATTTTTCATTTTTTAATTTTCAGTGTTTCGAATGAAATTTTCAGTTTTGCAGTTTTATAAATTTTTGAATGTCAATTTTTCAATTTTTAATTCTTCAATTTTTCAGTTTTAATTGCGCCAATTTTCGATTTTACCAGTTTCCGATTTTTTATTTTCGTTTTTTTTTCCAATTTTCGATTTGTGGACATTTTGGTTTTCCATTTTTTAATTTTGCCGTTTTTCTTTACTGATTTTTAAATTTTTAATTTTCAGTCAATTTTTGGATTTTTCGTTTTCTACATATTTTTATTTTTCGTTTTTTTTCAATTTTTAGATTTGTCAGTTTTTTATTTTGTCTAGAATTTTACACTTTTTCGATTTCTCGATGTTTTTATTTTTCAATTTCTCAATTTTTCATTTTTCAATGCTTGGTTTCTCGGTTTTTCGACCTTTTGGTTTCTCAATTTTTCCATTTTTCTATTTTAAAATTTTTCTATTTTTCAATAATTTGGTTTTGCACCTTTCAACTTCTCAATTTTAATCTTTTAATTTTTGAATTTTTGGTTTCTTCAGTTTTTCAAATTTTTTCCAGGTCACAGATTTTTTCAGTTTTACAGTTTGGAATTTTAAAATTTTTTTGAACCGAAAAACTGAAAAATCGAAAAACTAAAGATCGGAAAAAATTGAAAAATCGAAAAACTGAAAAATTAAAAATTGAAATTTTAAGTTTAAACATTGGAAAATCTAAAAAAACAAAAAAATGAAAAATTGAAAAATCGCAAAGGGAAAAATTGTGGAAACGAAAAACTGAAAAAAATGAAATTTAAAAACAAAAAATTATAAAATAGAAATATTCAAAAATTTATAAAGAAAATGAGATAGCGAAACGAAAAATTGAAATCTGAAATTTGGAAAATCGAAAAACTGGAAAAATGAAAAAACAGAAAGTTATAAAATCGGAACATCGAAAAAACGAAAAATTGCATATCGAAAATTTGAAGAACTGAATTAAAGAATTGCAAAATTGAAAAATTAAAAACTCTTATAAAAGTTTAAATCGAAAAATTGCAAAAATCTAGAAAGAGAAGAAAAAATGGAAAATATAAAAACCTCAAATCGAAGAAACGAAAAAATTGAAAAATTGAAATTTAAAAAATAGAAAATTGTAGAATCAAAATAAGTGAAAAAATAAAGAAAATAAAAAAATACCGAAACCAAAAATTCTAAATCGAAAAATTCAAAATTGAAAATCCGAGAAACTCAAATTGAAAAATTGCAAATATAAAACCGAAATGAAA